CGAGGGTCCGGGAACGGGATCGAGGCTGGGGGCGGGGCTCCGAGGGTCCGGGAACGGGATCAAGGCTGGGGGCGGGGCTAGGAGGGCTCGGGACCAAGGCTTGCGGAAATACAGGCAGGCGGAGGTGCCACCCACTTGCTCGCTAACCTTTCTCCTGCTTCACTTCTCAGCTCCGGAACTTAAAGTCTTCTCTTTGGGACACGTGACCAGCCAAAAGGGGAAGACATGGAGATGCCACCTGGGTTCCTCAGCCAACAGCTCCCATCTCCAAACGCACTATTAAGCAGAAATTCAAAATCTCAGTTGACGATTGGAAGTTTAATAAGCTCAGTGAAATTTCTCAAAAGTATAGCAAAAGGTAAAGAGGTGGGAAATTGAAGAGCCCGCAAGGACCAATCATGAGTATCCAACAGCCTACTACAGGGATTCCAGGAAGAGGTAGCAGCATGCTGAGAAGTCGTGGGTAGAAATAGACTGTAATGTTGAGACAAGGAGGCTGCTGGGTACACAGAACTGTATATGAGAATAGATTCACTAGGATGGCTGGGGTAGGATTCTGGCATCCTCCAGCTTCCTGCAGAGACAGAATCACCATACAACCAAGTTGATTCCTGTGGGGCTGAGGTCAGACAGACCTCTTTCCACCTTTTCCCAGCCCTCCTCCCCATGGCATTCTTGACGATGACTGTACCTGACACACACATGCTCCATGGTTGTGGGGATTATGGAAGAGGTTGTGACTCAGGTTTGAGAACACTCAGGATACAGTTTTCCTACTCAGGACACCCTCTTCTTATCTTTCAGGATATGTCTTCACATCTGTCCTGTAGCCAGGTCCCTCTGGACGTCAGTGCCCAGCTTGGCCTATGCTCTGCTTGTGCAAGTGGTATAAAGCTCTTTAGCTCTGTTACCAAATGCTCAGGAGGCCTGACTCCACAGTAAACTTCGCCTGTTAGTGCTCAGCTTCAGCTCTGTCAGCAAACCCAGTTCCAAGTATCTGGAGGCACCCACTCTGCCAGTAAGCCTCCTTTCCTGGGTTCTTCAGTGCCCTCACATCATGGTCCCAGAGCCCACCGCAGCCTTTACTGTTAGGAGTCTCTCTGCCTCATGTGGTCTCTATGTTACAGCGTATTCTCTGTGTTGGTTGTGTCTCTCTCGTTTTCTTTCTGTAAAGCTTCGTCTGACATACTGTGGACATGTTGCAAGGACAGACCAGTCCTTGAAAAGGGATATCATGCTTGGGAGGATGGAAGGACAGCTCAAGAGAGGAAGACCCTGGATGAGATGGATTGACTCAGTGACTAGAGTGATGGGGGAGGGGATGTGTGCCAGAGACAATAAGGTTGGCTCAGAATAGAACAGGGCTCAGAGCAGATGAACGTAGGGTTGCAATGAGTCGCAAGAGTTTGACGGCAAATAACAGCAAGCAACAACAGAGTGTGTGTGTGTGTGTGTGTGTGTGTGATCCTGCGTTCTCTGTGTTTAAGTATGGAGGTTCCCAGGACAGGGATGCTGGATTCTCTCTCACTCTCTGTGTGCATGCATTTTCTAAGTACAGGACATTGTCAGTACAGGGATATTCCAAAGGATACAATCTACTCTTGACTCTTTATTTCTTGATGTTAATGAGCTCTTACTTTCCATGTCTGGAACAGCTCAGTTTACTTTAACTAGAATGGAAAAATTTATCAGTTCCCTCCACTCTTGTTAGGGTCACTTACACGTTATTTGCATTAACGTAGAGACTAAGGTACCCTTCATTTAAGCAATGGGTTTTTGTATGTTTGGTTTGTTTTTTTTTCTTCACTTTAAGCAATGGTCTTTTCAATTACTTGCTATATATCTGAAAATTGGACAGTGAGGAAGGATGACAGAAGAAGAATTGATGCCTTTAAGTTGTGGTGCTGGAGTATTGAAGATCCCAGGATGGGTAAGCTTTGTCTTACATATGTTGGTCATGTTGTTAGGAGGGACTAGTTCTTGGAAGAGGCTATCAGGCTTGGAAAAGTGGAGGGTCAGAGAAGGAGAAGAAGACCCTCGGGGAGAGGGTTTGACCCTGTAACAGTGAGCTCAAGCATATCATAACAGAGATGGTAAGATAAGAGATGGGAAGGAGGCACAGGATAGAGCAAGGTTCAGTTCTGTTGTTTATAGGGTTGCTCTGTGTTGTACTCAACTTGACGGCACCTAACAACCACAAAAACGACAACCCTCACAAGGTGACATACATCTCCTTATATTTTCTGCAAGCTATATAATTCCTTTAGTGGGCCACAAACACCTACTTTGCACAGCTAGAAGGGTCATATAAGTAATTCTTTATACTGCAGTCATATCAAAGCAAGTCACTAAAAGAGATCTAAAAGCTTCCAGAGAGAAATAAGCAGGCCACCTACAATGGTTAGAGAGCAGGATACTTTGAATTTCACAATAGCATCTCTAGAAGAGAGGAGATTCAGGAGCCTTAGACATGAGAAATCTTACAGAAAAAGATTTTTAAGTTAGAAACAGTACATGCTTTGTAAATGACTAATTATGTAAGGACAAAATAAAGACATTTTTATTTTCAGGATTATTACTACTGTAGTAGCTTAAAATATTAACCTCCCACATCCTCTTCTCAAAGGGATTATGTGCTCTCCTAAAACATAAGAGTAAATGAAGAAAAAAGAACACATTGTGGGGAAAAGAAGCAAGCAAGAGAGACTGCAGTAAAGGACACTGAACGGTAGGAGTTTGCAGCATGGACTGCAGGGTCCCAAGTCCCTGTCCTGTCCTCCATAGGTGACTGATGAAGGTGGAAGGGCAGTGCTAAGCACGGCAGAGAGTTGCACAGAAAGGCCCCTAACATGGTGGTATAGGGGCCTCACAAGTGGCCAGAGCCTCTTCTCCAGCTGCCATCATACTGGGACATGAATTCTAGCAGGAGGCTGGAGGGACACCACCTGAGAGAGCTGTAGGTGTGGCAAGTGGAATTAGGGCATGGGAAGACAACTGCCCTTTGCCTTATTATCTTAACCTTGTTAAGTATTGTTTTATGCCCTAGTTAAATGATCCATGGGGATCCCTGTTGACTTAGTCTGTAAAAAACTGAGCGGCTCACACCTCTCTGGTGCTTTGAATTCACCAAAGACACTGAGGGACAAAGATGGGCAATTTCCTCACAGCCTTGGAAAGGTCAGCTATGAGTTAACTCAGACTCCACGACAATAAATTATATGGTGCACAAGCAATACCCATGGAAGGAGCAGTGAGGAAAATCAGACGTGTTGCCCTTGGCAAATCTGCTGCAAAAGACCTCTTGACTTTGAGGACTAAGACACCCCAAATCATGTTGTTATTTATCAGTGTATGCTGTTGAGTTGGAACCAACTCAGAGCTGACCCTCCAGTGGGTTTTCAGGGGCTGTAAATCACACAGGAAGAGACTGCCTGTTTGTCTCCCACAGAGCAGCTAGTGAACTTGAACTGCTTGTCTTTGGGTTGGCAGCACAACCCCTTATCCATTAAGCTATCAGAGCTCTCTCAAATGCTTGTGAAAGCTGGACAATGAATAAGAACCACCAAGGAACTAAACATGCCTTTGAATGATGACGGGTGAAGGTCTTAGTTACTTGGTCAGTCTGTAATAGAGATACCATGTGGATGGCTTTAACAAACAGGAATTTATTTTCTTGCACTTGAGGAGGGTAGATGTCCGAGTTCTGGACCCAGGCTCTAGGGGAAGGCTCTCTCTCTGTCAGTGGTAACGTCTTTGTCTGCTTCAACCTCTGTAGGCCTGGCCTTCCCTGAGCCCTCTCTGTGTGTTGGCCTTCCTGTGGATCAAGGAAGTTTGTTGTACAGGGATCCTGGTCTAAAAAGAGCCACTCCATTCCTAGTGGTCCTGAGGTCACCCCTTCTCAGTCCACTTTCCTCTCCTTTAACCTCTACTGAGATGAAAGGTGTTACAGGCCACGCTGAAGGTAACGAGTTTTACTTTAGATCAGCCATTTAAGAGTGTTGCATTTCACCTTAGTCCTCCTTAAACTACTTGGTTTATTGGATCATGAGGGATCATTCACTATTCAGTCCATACCAGTGAAGAACACTGACCACACCATCCATGGTCAGTCAGAACGAACATCTGTTTGTGTTTTTTTTTTATGCAAATCAATATAAAGTATTTTTTTTCAGTTTATTATTAATTTCAATGAAAATGTACAGAGACTTTGGGTTTCCATTCATTCACTGTTGCAAGAACATCTGTTTTTCAAGAAGTGCAGGCAGGACGCTCCTTAGGAGCAAGGGCTGTTGCCTGGTGCCCAGGAGTCCACCTGAGAACAAAAGGTCTGCACACCAGACTCAGTGTTGCAGTCACTTTGTCAACCTATCTCTGAGAATCTTCCTCTTTCACTGACCCTCCCAGCATGAACTGGCCTCTCCTGACAACATGCTCCAAAGTACGCATCTCACGGGTGCACACGTTCTCACCTACACGCACCGCTTGGTGTTATGTGAGCCGTACTCAGCAGCCCGCACCCCCCGACGCACCGACGTGTTGAGGCCTAACAGAAGTGAGTGGGTCTCACAAAGATTAGAGCTTGTACCTGGACCCTCTGGTGGGCAGAGGCTGAAGATGAAGGTGCTCACAGATTACAGAAGCCAGCAGGAGGGAAGTGCCTTTGCGGCCTTCAGTGCACCCACAAGTCTCCTCCCGGACCCTGGCACTGTGTGGGATCCTCGCCTCCCCTTCCAGATCAGAGCCCAACTCCAACGCTTCCTCACCTGGCCCTGGCACACGCTGCGCCCTCTCCTCGCCCCTTAAACGTCGTCCTAGGCCCCGCCCCCGGGCCTCGTCCCCGAGCCTCTCCACCCCAGGCCACGCCCATCCCATCCCCCCTCCCCATTCCATTCCCGCCCCCAGACCCACCCCCCCCAGGCCCCGCCCCACCCTATTCCCGCCCCCCAGACCCCCCCTCACCCTAGGCCACACTCCACCCACGCCCCCTGGACCCTTAAGGCTCCCGGCCCTTCCCTTTCATTGGCCTAGGCTCGCCGGGGCGCGCGGGCGCGCAGAGATCCCAGGGCCTCCAGCCGGGACGCATCAGAACTGCGCGGGCCGGCGCGATGCAGTCGGCTGGCGGCGACGTGGAAGCCCAGGGCCGCCGCCCGCAAGTGCTCGTGGTGGGCGGTGGCATCGCGGGGCTGGGCGCGGCGCAAAGGCTCTGCCGGCACCCGGCCTTGCCGCACGTGAGGGTCTTGGAGGCCACCGGTCGCGCAGGGGGCCGCATCCGCTCGGAGCGCATGTTGGGTAACGGCACTTAGCCGGAGCTCTTTGTCGAAACCCCTCCCCCGAGCCCCTTCCCGGCACCCAGGTGGTGCCCTGGAGCTTGGCTGACCTTTGGCCTGGGCCTGCGCCCCACGGTGAACCTGGCCTGGCTGGCGCTTGTCTGGCGCACAGAATGAACCCTCACCTCGCTCCCACTTTTTCAGCCCGAGTTTTCGGGGTCCCTCTCTCCAGAGTAATAGGGAAGGGACCTTCCCGCCTGGAGTGTTTGGAGGCCCCATTCTGCCCCTGTGGGCAGACACTTGGCCCTGGCGTCCCCGACAGTGCCATACCAGGCCAGCCTGTCTTTCTGAGGCCTTTTTGCCAACTCTGACTGGCGGGTGTGGGGCCCCGCTGGGAGGTGGGTGTAGTCTCGTTTCCAGAGGACCATGGCCGAAGAGACCACCTCAGGCAGCACCTCTGTCCCTTCCCAGGTGCCGTGGTCGACACAGGTGCACACTGGATCCATGGGCCGTCCAAAGGCAACCCCGTTTTCCAGCTGGCCTCCGAGTATGGGCTGCTGGGGGAGAAGGAGCTGTCTGAGGAGAACCAGCAGGTGGAGCTGGGCGGCCACTTGGGCCTGCCCTGCGTGACATATGCCAGCTCTGGTCGGAGCGTGAGCCTCGAGCTGGTGGCGGAAGTGGCCGATCTGTTCTATGCTCTGCTTGACCAGACGCGAGAGTTCCTGCATGTGGCCACAGCCCCTGTCCCTAGCGTTGGAGAGTACCTGAAGCAGGAGATCAGCCGGCGCTTGGCCGACTGGACAGAGGAGCAGGAGACCAAGAAGCTCAAGCTGGCCATTCTCAACAGCCTCTTCAACCTGGAGTGCTGTGTGAGCGGCACACACAGCTTGGACCTGGTAGCCCTCAGGCCTTTTGGGGAGTACACCATGCTGCCAGGGCTGGACTGCACTTTCCAGGGGTATGTGTGAGGCTCTCCCACTCCCGCCTAGCCCGGGTCCTGTCCCTCTGGCTCTGGGAGGCAGAAATGGGCAGAAGGCTCTTTGCCCTTCCCTGTTTCAGAGAAGCTGTAGCCTTTCCTTGGTTTTGTCCATTTAAGGAAGAGTTATTTAGAAGAGAACGTGATTGAAAGAAGGGAAGAAGTCCTGCCACCCTTTCTTCTTTCCATGTTTTGGAGCCTCCTGCATCCAGTTCTATGTGAGCGGCTGCAGAGATGGCCAGACACTCCCTTCTCTGAGTTGGGTGCTTGGGATCTTCTGGGTGGCCCCTCCTGCCAGGCTGCCTCAACTGTACCCTGTTGTGTCTAACTGGACCTTTTGTCCACTCAAGGCTCCCAATCAGGGGCCTACACATTTGTGGTTCAAGTGCTTTGTTCTTGGGGGTCTTTGTCTTCATTAGCATCCCTGCGGCGTGTCCCAAGTTAAGCACCTCGGCTTAGGAGCAGCAGGGGTGGAATGAAGCCAGTGCCAGGCCCTGCTCCTGTACCCTGAACCCCTCCCTGGGTGAGGCCAGTTCTAGGCTCTTCCTCCTGAACCCTAACACCACCTCCTAGGTTAAGGCCAGCGCCAGGCCCTGCTCCTGCACCCTGACCCCCCCTTCTTGGGTGAGGCCAATTCTAGGCTGTCCCTCCTGAACCCTAACACCACCTCCTGGGGTGAGGCCAGCTCCAAGCCCTCCCTTCCTGCACCCTGACACCACCTCAAGTGAGGCCAGCTCCAGGCCCTCCTCCTGCACCCTGGCCCCCACTTTCCTGGGTGAGGCCAGTTCTAGGCTCTCCCTCTTGAACCCTAACACCACCTCCTGAGGTGAGGCCAGCTCCAGGCCCTCCCTCCATGCATCCCGACCCCCTTTCTCTGGGTGAGGCCAGCCCCGGGTCCTCCCTTTCTGCCCCCTAATACCCCCACCCCCATACTCCACAGCTGAACAGAGCAGTACTCTGCAAATCAGGAGGAAGCTTAGTGGCTTCTTCTGAGGAGGTGGTTCTGGCCCTTAGGGCGGTATGAGGGTTTCAGGGTCTACTTCAGACAGCCACCCTTCTCAAGACCAGCTCTCTCAGCTCTTGTGGCTTCCTGACCCCTAGGGGCTACGAGGGACTCACCAGCCGCCTAGCAGCCTCCCTGCCCAAGGACGCCCTGCTTTTCAACAAGCCTGTGAAGACGATTCACTGGAATGGGTCCTTCCAAGAGGAGAAGGTTCCTGGGGAGACGTTTCCTGTGCTAGTAGAGTGCGAGGATGGGGACTGCTTCCCAGCACATCACGTCATCCTCACTGTGCCCTTAGGTAGGGGTTAGCCTCCACCCAGACATGCAGCCCACACCCTGCACACTGGGGCCCAGACTTGTCCTGGGGAAGAGTGATCACTGGGGTGTGTGCTTTGCTGCTAGGCTTGCATTTTCCAGGAAACTTCACTGTTGGCAGGTAGACCTGCCCCCCTTACATAGGATTACTGCATGTTGGAGCAGAGCTGGGCTCCATAGCGTTCAGTGGCTAATTTTTCAAAAGTAGATTAGCAAGTCTGCTTCAGAGAAACCTGAGTAAATGCAAACCTTGTAGTACTATCCATGTGTAGTACCTGTGACACTTTCCAGATAGATTATTGTTTTTATGCCCTTCCAGGTAGACAGAAGGAATGTATTATGTATTCTAGGGAGCTGTGCTGCCAAGCCAAAGGCAGGTGATTCGAATCCACCGGCTGTTCCACAGGAGAAAGTTGAACAGTCTCCTCCCATGTGACTTACAGCCTTTGAAAACCCATTGCAGGATCAACTGTGAGTTGGATCCAACTCGATGGTACACAACAACAACAACATTTTATGTACCCGAGTTCTTTGAGTCTAAAAGAGAATCAGCAAGCATGTGCTTTGCTACTTCTGAGGTAGCTGGAAAGGATCAAGATGCCTTTAGAGTGTAGCCAGCTTCACTTTTTTGTCAGGAGGAAAAGGCATTAAAAAGCCAGGTGTCAAGATTAACTCTGCTGTTAACCTGTGGATAGAGTTGCAGTTATAATCCTGTTTAATTCTGGATCCGATACTGTAAGTCTTGGAGTAGAAATGGCTTTGAATAGGGTAGAGCTTGAAGGTGACAGACTTGTAGCTACCCCTTATTGACCAGTGGTCCTCTGGAGGCACCATGGTGGCACAGTGCCCATTTAGGCTCACTGCCTCCTACCTGGCACTTTCTCTGCTTGACAAATTTGGAAATTTGGACAAAGCAATTAATTGCCTAGGTTCACAAAATTAGCAATACCAAAGCTGACATGAGGAACAATCTTGGTGTGGCCAAAGGGAGGCAAGTGGCCTCCTGAGGGGCCACTGCAGTTTGTGTCCTTTGGGACAGTGCTAGGTCATGACTTGAGGACAGGCATGCTTTATGTACCTCTCCGCCTACAAACGGAGTCACTTCTCTCCATCCATCTTGCTCCTGAGTTGCCTTGGTTCTTAGCTTGATACATTGATGTCACTGTTTCCAAGTGAGCACATAGGTTTGCTTTGTTTTTTAAATTTTATTTTACTTAATTAACATTAATGGTGCTGCTCACTCGCTCTCTCCTTACCAGCGCTTGCTCATTTCTGCAGTCCTATTACTGAATTCCTGCTGGGAACTGACAGAGGGGAATTTGATCAGCAGACATGGGTTACAATTCCTACTCCATTGTCACACAGTCTTTTCTTACTGCCAGGCAGGATTCTTTCTGTTTGTACGTGTTGTCATTTAGTAACCTTTTGTGGAAATTTGGCTAACTTCCCGTTTTCTGCCTCATTTAATGTTTTTCAAGTACATTTGAAAACATGCATCCATGCCTCCGGATCAGTTCTTGTGGAGAACGTTGCTGGGTGCAAGCCTGGCAGATGAGCCTGCTTGAGAAGGATGCCTCCAGGCCCTCGGACCTGAGGTCTCTGCCTCATTTTCTAGCTGTTCATCATTTCTTATGTACTTTCAAGAGCTCTTTTTCTCTTAAATTGTGCTGCGAAGATTTACTTTCAATTTGTTGTTTTAGGAATTTCTCCCCCCCCCCCCCGCAGAATAATTTTCCTGTAATTGTTAGGTGTCATTGAGTTGTAAGGGTACAACTCATACTGATCCTGTGAACAGCAGATCTGAACCTTGGCCTGTCCTGTACCATCCTTACCAACTCTTGATATTTTCCAGCCCATTGCTACAGTTACTGGGTCAGCCCATCTTGTTAGGGGTCTTCCCTTCTTTTTCTGACCCTCCACCTTTCTCAGCATAAGATCTTCTCCCAAGGACTGGGCATTCCTGACATTCCCATTCACCGTCCTTGCCGCTAAGGAGCACCTTGGCTGCACTTCCTTGAAGCCAGGTTTATTTATTCCTTGACAGTCCAGGAGACTCTTCTCCAACACCTCAATTCAATGATATAGATCCTTCTTCTGTCATCCTTATTCATTGTCCAACTTTTAGATACAAAGGCATTGGAAATACCATGCCTTGGATCAGGTTCACCTAGCCTTTAAACTGACATCTTTGTTTCTTAACACTTTAGAGAGCTTCTTGACCACCTTTGCAGTAAAACACAGCTTACTTTTAAAACTGACACCATTGCTCTTCAGCACTTTGGAGAAGTCCCTATCAGCAGATTTTGCCAATGTAACATATTTTGTAAAATTTTTGTGACTACTGATCCCCTGGGTGCTGATTGTGGATTCAAGCAAAATGAAATTGTTGACAACTTCAATCTTTTCTTCATACATTATGATGTTGCCTATTGTTCCAGTGGTGAGGATTTTTATTTTCTTAATTTTAGTACTAGCAGTCGAGAAATTAGAAGATGTATTGTACTAAAAAAAAATTTAAAAAAATGAAAAGAAAAAAAAGAAGATGTATTATACTGGGAAAAATCTATTGATAGGGACCTCTCCAAAGTGCTAAAGAGATTGTAGTTGTTGTTAAGTGCCTTTGAGTCATAGGTGACTCATAACAACCCTATGAACAAAAGACCTGAACACTTTTATGACTTTCATTGTTTCTCCAGGTTCATAGGGTTTCAGGAGGCAAGCTGTTTCCAAGGTGGATGCCACTCCTGCTTCCAAGCTTGTTTTAATCGAGGAGCTCCACCAAACACTGTCCACCACGGATTATCATTATCACATTTGACACATTAGTGCCACAGTGTTCAGTATCACAGCAACCACGAGTTACCAGGGCTATAAGACCTAGAAGAATGTTTGACCAAAAACAATTAAAACCAGGCCTGAGGGCCGTGGATTAAAGTCACCGCCTTTGGCTTGGTAGCATCACTTTGTGTCCACTAGGCCAACTGAGCTCTCTCTCTGACAGTAGTGTGTTTAACCAATAAGGTGCATCTGATCCAGGCCATATCTTTCCAGTTACTTCCAGTGTATCTGGAAGTTGGACAATGCCTTTGAGTTATGGTGTTAGAAGTGGATATTGAATATCCCACGGACTGCCAAAAGGGCAAACAAGTCTGTCTTGGAGAATGTGCGACCAGGGTGCTCCCTGGAGACAAGGATGGTGAAACTTTATCTCACACACTTTGGGGAGGTTGTCTGGAAGGGGCTCGTCCTTGGAGAAGGACATTGTACTTGGAAAAGTGAAGTGTTAGCACAAGAGAACCTCAACAAGATGAATTGATGCAGTAGCTGTAACAATGGGTTGGAGCATATCAGAGATGATAAGGATGGCACAAGATAGATCAGAGTTCAGATCTATTGTTCATAGAATTTCTCTGAATCATAGTTGACTCTGTGGTATGTAAAAACAACAACAGCAGTGTTGAGATGTTGAGGTGTAATTTATACTGAAGATTGTGTAGTCTTTGATCTGCACCAGGTGTTTTAAATCCTCTTCACTTTCAACAAACAAGATTGTGTCATCTGCACAATGCAGGTTGTTGGTAAGTCTTCCTTCAATCCTGATGCCACATTCTTCTTCATAGAGCCTAGCTTCTCAAATGATTTGCTCAGCTTGCAGATTGAATAGGTATGGCGAAAGGCTACAGTCTTGACACATGCCTTTCCTAATTTTAAACCATGCAGCATTTCCTTAATTTGTTCAGACAACAGCTTCTTGGTCTAGTTATAGGTTTCACATGAGCACAACAATTAAGAGTTCTGGGATTCCGTTTCTTTTGTGTTGGTCATAATTTGTTATGATACACACCATTAAATATCTTTGCCTAGTCATTAAAAAAATGTTCCTGCAGCTTCTAGATAAAGCCTGTGCATGTAACCCTTTTGCAAAGGAACTCTTGAACATGGTGGCTCACAGAGGGTTAGAGGCAGACGCCTCAGGAAGGAGAGACCTGGTTTAGCTGACCGTTTGAGTGGGATGATGTTCAGTGTCTCTGCCTAACCAATTAGCAGCCAGGGAACGTGATGAGCTGTCCTCTGCCTCCATGCTGGTCATGTGCTGTTCAGTTTACTGCCTGCTGTGGACTGTAGGGTGGGTGAACATTGCTTACACGAATGGGCCTTTGAAAGAGGGAGTGTGCTTGGAGTCCTGCATCTGTGAGTCTGTTTCTCCGATTCCTTGGATTGGGGCACGAGGAGGGCCCTCATTGGTTGTAGAGCCCAGTTTTAGAGACCTATGTGAGTAAGGGGAGTCCAATTGTGAATTCCAGGTTTTCTTAAGGAACATCTGGACACCTTCTTTCAGCCACCGCTACCCCCCGAGAAGGCAAGAGCCATCAGGAAAATGGGCTTTGGGACCAACAATAAAATCTTCCTCGAGTTCGAGAAGCCCTTCTGGAAGCCAGGTTGCCAGCACATGCAGGTGGTATGGGAGGGCTCGTCTCCGCTGCAGGACGAAGATGGAGCGCCTGTGCCGCGGGACGCCTGGGTCAAGAAGCTCTCTGGCTTTTTGGTCCTGCCCTTGTCTGGGTATGTACTTTTCCCAGGTTTGTCTGTGGGAGCTGCAGGCGGCACCCTGAGTGTGTGTGTTTGGGAGGCATTTGACATAGAGGTCCCAGCAGTGTGGTGATTTGTTGGTGCTAGTTTCTGGAGAGTTCTGCAGGTGGGATCTCAGGAGTACTCCAAGGCCCTGGTAACAGACATCCGAGCTCTAATCCCTCAATGAAACAGACAGATTTCCACATGCAGCCTGTCAGTGTGTCAAGACCTGGAATGTTCTGGTGGAATGTGTGTGCGTGTGTGTGTGAGAGAGAAGAAATAAATCTCAAGGAAAAAGCTTAAGTACTTGAAGAGTCTAGCAAGTCCGAGGCTTTTGGGTCAGATCTCAAGAGAGACCTGACTGGTGGTGAAGTGAATGAATCCAAGGCCACCAGAGAAGGCAGGCCACAGCTCACATTCAAGACCTGGATTAACTGCCAAAACAAAACTGACATGTGGCAAAAGCAGCGAAGCTCTGCTGGGTGCCTGTCACACACTGGTGAGACTCCCTTTCAGCTGTCTGGTTGCTACAGCAGACATCATCGCGGAAGTGGTTACATCGTGTACAGTCTCATCAAGGAAATGACACTGTCACAGTAAGAGAATGACCATTGTAACTGCCAAGCCAGGGACTCCAAGTGGACACAAACCTTAACCATCAGAAAAGCTTTCCGCATGAGGGGATTAGGTCAGTGGGTAAAGTTCCAGGTCCACTCATTTGGCAGCACAGCATGTGTAGAGCGGCCATGGCAGACAGAAAGGTAGACGCAGTGTGTTTCTGACAACCCTGAAAGCAAAATCAGCACACAGAGGTCTGAAGTGGCTAGTTCAGCTGGCAGCTGTGACACACACGCCGTGGTAGTGCTTTCCCATTGGTCAAATAAAGACACTTGTTGGGATGTCCTAGAAGTAACAACCTTCTCTGCTTCCCCATGGATGCTGTCTGTAGCGAACCTGACGTGTATGGTGGTGAGGAAATCAGCACCAGCTCACAGCTTGGGCCCACCACCTCATCACTGCTAGGAGCACAGCTTCTGCCATGCTGTTTTTGGTTGGGGCTGTAGCCATTAGCATCATGGAATCATCAAGTTGGCTCTGGCTACACAGACCTGACCGGGTCTTGGGACCTCCAGGATTGGGGCTGCACTTGAAAACTACTGACTGACATTCTCTGGGTGGGCTGTCAGAAGCCCCAGGGGTGGTCTCTGGCTCCTGCCGAGCCCATCTCCTGGCCTTTCTCCCCACAGGCCTGTCCATGTCCTCTGTGGGTTCATCGCTGGGCTTGAGTCCGAGTTTATGGAGACGTTGTCTGATGAGGAGGTGCTTCAGTCCCTTACCCAGGTCCTCCGGAGGATGACAGGTATGTGCCCTGCTGCAGGGAGAGTGCCCTGTGCTTGCTGGTGGCCAGCCTCCATCGGGGACCCAGCTCTTTAGAGATGAATGTGACTCTCAGCACTTCCAGGCAGACACCTCGTAATAGTGGAGTCACCCCTAGTCCTTGCTTACAGGGAACTGATAACACTATACAAACCCTTTCTGCAAATTCTACATCAGAGGAAGTGATATTCTCAGCCAGGCTTTTACAGATAAAGGAGCTGAGGCTCAAACAGCAAAGTGACAGTGTCCTGGCCAGCACTGCTACGCAGCCTGCTGCTCTGTGTGGCCGCTTTGTGTAGGTGCCGCTTCTTATTAGCACACACTTGTCTGTGTCTGGAGTTTAGCTGGCTTCTTTCTGATACACTCTGAAGCTTGGTTTTATTCCCTGGCCAGCCTTTCACTTTGGAATCTGCTTGGCCTTTAGAGGAAAGTTGGCTGTACACATGTGACAAAAGTGTGGTAATAACATGCTTGTTTCTGTGATTCAGGAAACCCACAGCTCCCTGCACCCAGAAATGTTCTGCGGACTCGCTGGCACAGTGCCCCATACACCCGAGGCTCCTACAGCTATGTGGCCGTGGGCAGCACGGGGGACGACATTGACCTGTTGGCCCAGCCCCTCCCTGTAGATGGTGCAGACGCCCAGGTAGGATGACACCCTGACCCCTCAAACTGGGATAGACCCAGTGACGGGAGCAAGGAGCCATGGGAGGCTGGGGCCACGTGACTCTAGATCCAGTTTCTTTTTCAAATTAATACATTTTAAAATATATTTTCAGCATTATAGGTGGATATACTTAAAAAACCATAGAATTCACAGTGCTGGTTGGCAAAACGAAACCAAACCCAAACCCAAACTCAGGCTGGTGGGTGCACCCCTCCCTTTCCTAAAGCACCTACTCACTTAGCTGACCCTTTCTTCTGAGTTTACTGTATTTCTAAAGAATGTGTTCATATTTCTATTTGAAAACAAACAAAATGAGTGATGAGAATATGCAGATGTGCACAGTGCATAGAACTCTGTGTGCCCTCATCTTCTGTGGGTGTCATCTCAGAGCACTCCTGTTCTCCCTCTGCTGGGCGTTAAACACGACTTTTCATCTACAGACATTTTAATGTGTATCTTTAAAAGATAAGGGTAACCTTTTTAAAAAGTGTCAACGATGATGCCATCACCTATAAGTAAAAATTAGCATTGAATCCTCAGTATCATGCGGTGCTCAACCAGGGTTAATGTCCCAGTTGTCTCATACTTTTGTAGTTTACTTGTTTGGCAGTGTTACTTCTAGGATTTTTGTTTTTAGGCATGACTGAACCATCAGTGTGGAAGATGAGATGTTAGTTTTCTTTGAGGGGTACATGCCCCACCCCAGAGAGACTTCTTACATCAGTCAGGACTGTGATGGGTGTTCTAGCCCACCCTTAATTCTTTTACAACTGCCTGGTTTATTAATTCTTTTCGAACTGCTTGGTTTATAACCATTGAGGAACATCAGAAAATTTTATTACATGTAGGGCCTTAGGGACATAGTCTAAGGAGTTGCACTGCTAAGTCAACCTCCCCAGAGGTCGGAATTCACCAGTGACTCCACTGGAGAAAGCTGGCCAATCTCTTCCTGTGCAGTTCACAGCTGACTACCCCCTGGAGGGTCAGCTAAGAGTTAGTTGGCTTAGACTCAGTGACAATGAATTTCATCATACGTACGTATGTATTTTTGAAGGACAAAATTCAGCCCATGACAATGTATGATTGGGAGTGGGGTGCACATCAGGTGTGAGTGTGAATGTGTGTGGATTGAGTATAAGAGTGAGTGTCTATAAGAGTGAGTGTGTGTGGAACGTAAGTGTGTGAATATGTGAGCATGAATATGTGAGTGTATGCAAGGGTGTGAGCAAGTGTGGTTGAGATTGAGTGTGGTGTTGTAAGTCTGTGAGCATGAATGGGCGAGCTTGTGTGCATGACCATGTGTTTGTGTAAGATTGTGAATGCATGATGGTGTATGAGGTGTGTGTGAGCGTGAGTATGAGTGTATGTGAACCCTGAGTGTATGAATGTGTATATGGTTGTGAGGTGTGACTATGAATGTGTGATTATGTGTATGTATGCATACATGAGTGTGTAAACTCGTGTGATAGGTGTGACAGCACAAGCGTGTGTGGGTATGATTGTGTTAGTGTATGAGTGATTGTGATGTGTGACTGAGGGCACAGGCATATGTGGTTATGGGTGTTGTGGTTGTGTGTACACATGTGAGCATGTGTCTAAGGGCATGAGCATATGTAGTTGTGTGGGGGTGTGACTAGTGTGTTTTCTCTGTCCTCATTCTCCAGCTGTTTGCACACCTCACACTTGATGTACCTGAGTCTGTCCCATCAGCTTGTGCTTCTTGAAGATGCTTGCTGCTGATGTCCCGGAATCAGGGTGTGCTGCTCTCCTGTTTGCTCCTGCAGTCCCCAGCTGGTCCCCACCTTTCTATGAGAGGAAGCTCATCACCGCTGAGTTGTTCTACCTCCTGGTCACCCTACGGCACAGAGGAGAGCTGTCCCACAGGCTGTGGCCTTGAATAAGCACACTGCCTCCTTTTTCTCCCTGGGAGTGGCTGCTGAGTTAGAGTCACTAATATCTCTGTAGTAACTCCTTAACCACTGCGCTGCCAAGGCTCTTTTCATCCAGCTAAGGAAGTGATGAAACTGGGATCTGTGCAGGTGGCACTGTTCTGCAATCAAAACCATCCAACCCCAAAGTCATTGACATCAGCCACTTCCAGCACAAAGTGACCCTGTAGAGAGTAGAAGGTGCCATTAGGTCTCTTCTTGAGGAAGCAGATGCCACATTTTTCTCTCCTGGAGCAGCTGGCAGATTCAAACTGCCAACCTTTTGGTTAGCAGCCAGATACTTAACTGCTGTGTCACTGTGGTCCCTGATGAGAAGAGTGTTACAGACATTTCCAATCTGCTGGGTGAAAAATTCCAGTTGTAAAACAAGTCCCTGGGGCTTGAAGGTTTTTTCATGTTGCCATGGGGAAGCCCAAAGCCTTTCAGGTCACCTCCCCATCATCTGAGTATTTTAAAATATCTTAGAAAGCTTGAAAGACTAAGTACTGGCATTTCTTGCTAGTGTTTTGTCCTCCCTGTGCTAATCCTGGGGGTGGGGGTGTATCTCCGCTTGGTTGTTCTGAGTCCACGCGCTGTTTGCATCTGGCTGAATCAGTCAGTGTGGAAAACCCTCCGCAGCAACCTGGAAATGCTCTGCTCTGTCCCCCTTCTAGTTTCCCAACTTTACTCTCTTTCCGGGCTTTTGTTGTTTAGGTGTTAGACCTTGACTGTCCCTCAAATAGTCTTGCTGTGTGTTGCCTTTTAACTTTTTAACTTTGCCTTCTTGCTTGACTGTGTCTTGTCAGTCTTCTGCAGTTTGGTTTTTTTTTTAAATTTTTATTTTATTATTTTTGTGTGAGGGTACCATCAAATCAGATCTGACTGGTACAGGAGGAGATTGTCCCTCCTTCCGCGGCAGAGTATCTGGTGGATTCAAACCGTGCGCCTCTGGGATTGTAGTGGCAGCTCCTTGCCACTAGGCCACCAGAGGCTCCCCTAGTCTTCTACAGTTTTAAGTTTGCTCTGATGTCTGATTTCAAAGTGCTCCTTCTTATCCCTGTTCCTCCCTCCATTGTTGCTGTTTGTGGTATAGTGGAACCTTATTTTGTCCTTAATTAGGATTGTGTGATCAATTGAAACACAAAACCACTTGGTCACTGCTATAGCCGCAGAAAGTCTGTGGTTGCATGCCCATTCTGGCCTGGTCTCTTTCTCAGCTCCAGATCCTGTTTGCTGGGGAAGCCACACACCGGACATTTTACTCAACCACGCACGGGGCACTGCTGTCTGGTTGGAGAGAGGCTGACCGGCTCATTGGCCTGTGGGACACTGGCAGCTGAGGCCCGAGGCTGAGATCCTAGCCTGCTGTGCACTTGAGTTTGCTCCAACCATCTTGCCTACAACTGTGGGTGCCTGAATAAGGCCAGCATATTATAAGCCTAAGTACTCCATATTAACTATGCACAGTCCGAGTAAAAAGCAAGTTAAGGAACAAGGAAGTAGACAAAGTCCACTGTTGACGAGTCATGTACTGGTCAAGGTCTGCTTACCAAGCACAGAAGAAGATGTTTTATAGTCTGTTAACAAAGGAAAGAAACATCTGTGTGAGAAATGTTAATAACAAGAAGGCCAAATAACAGATGTTACTTTTAAAAACAAATTTTCAGCAGAAGCTGGAGCTTAAGGGGTATATAAGAAAGGAGTTCAACAATAAACTTTGCTATCTGCCATCAGCTGGTCGCCTCTCTGTGTCTTCTTTAATCTGTGTCCTTCCCTTAGGTTTCCCCATTGATATAACGAGGCTGGACCCCATTATACAACAGATGATGCTTGGCGTGGACTGAGACTTGGGGCATGATGGCCTTCGCCTCCCTCCCCTGGTCTCCAGGGCCCACTTCTCCCATTTCTTATTGTCCTCTGAGACCCTGGCTGAGCCTCAGCTGCATGGGAAGCCTAGGAGAGACATACGAGTGCCGCCTGGCCAGCGTTATTACAGATATAAAGGTGCGTATGCTGCTTCATCGGGGCCCTTGTTCTTTCTCCTCATCTTGCCCTCGCCAAGCCCTGTGCTCACCCCAGTGCCTGGCCCTTCTTATAGGCCCCTGGATGCAGAGTCCCAGGGTTGTCCCATATTTCGTATCTCCTGTACTCACTCAGATCTTATGGCTGGAGTCTGTGCCTTTCTGGTGAGGTGTGCCATCCTGTGTTCATGGGCAGATGCTGATGGAGACTTTCTGTGTGGTGGGCTGGGCAGTGAACTGGGATAGTCCTGCCAAGGGAGCACTTCCAGGCTTGGGAAGCTCTAGGGAGAAGCAATAGGGGAGAGTACTCAGCTCCTGGCTCCTGGCTTGGTTCCAGGGGACAACTGTGAACACTGGGTTATCGCTCAGCTCCTGGAAAGCATTTGTGGACACTGACTGGTTGATGCCCAATTCAGTTACCAGGTAGTGGTGTCTGGTTCAGAATTGACTTAGTAGCGGTGGTTTGAGTTCTGGATTATTTCTTTTTAGGCCACCTCCATGGCTCCATGTTGCTGCCAGCAAGGCCTGGGGATGGGCCTGTGCAGGTGGAGGGGCTGTGCTAGGAAAGGCGCTCGAGGCACTGAACATGCCCCCAACTCAGCCCACCGCAGACCTCATCCTTAGGCAGTAGGGGCTGCTGGAGGCTTGCAGGGGGTCAGTGTGCACTCCCTCACCTCTGAAGCTGCTCCTTCTCCTTCTGTAAGCCCCCAGGTCCCAGCCCATGTCCTGCTAGCAGAACCTTCAGCTCTAGAGCCAGTTGGGATGAAGGGCCTCTGGCCTGCTTTTTCTCCAGACCTGCAGGGACTCCACTATCAGTGTGCCCTGGTCCCTCAGCCCCCTGGCCCACCTGGGCATCCCATTCTGAGCCTGCTAACCCTGATTTTAACCTGGCTTATTCAGTCCCCACTCCTCTCTCTCAGGGCCTTTTGCCCCCATGCTACCCCACCAGCCAACTTCCTCCTCAGACTCCAGGTGACCTGGAGTTCTGTACCTGTGCTTGTCTGTGGTCAGTACAGCAGTCTTGAACTGAGACACCTAAATTTAGTAGGGCTTTAAAAAAATTTATGGACCTGGGTCTGTGAAGGAACACAAACCTCCATACATTCAAGGATCTTTACCGTGTACTAGAAGAGCTGCTTACAAGAGGGCTCTATTAATTTACAATCCTCTGGGAGACATTTTTGTGTTCAGAGAGGAAGGCTCTCGACCTCGGCAGCCCAGATTAAAGAAGGGGAACTGGGACTAGACTGGTGTCCTAGGACCTTACCCCCATCAGGCTAGAAGCACCTGGGAGGGCCTTTGTTCCACCAGGCTGGCGATAGCTCCATCCAGGGATCCAGGTGGAGATAAAGTAGTGCTCAGAAAGATTCAGAAGTTCAGAAAATTCAGAGACCTTAGACCGACGGAATCTGAAGCCAACCAAAGTCTGAGAAATGCACACATTTTGCAGGGATATCCCAGGCTCGCTGTATGAACAAGATCGTAGAAGGATTTCACCAAGAATTTGGAAAGGGCCTATTTGTTACATCCAAGCCATTGAAAAGGAAAATGAAGACTTTCACCTTTTAAAGGATATTTATTATTTAGGGAGCTCTGGTGGCCTAGTGGCAAGAAGCTGCAGTGAAATCCTGAAGGCACGCAGTTCGAATCCACCAGTTGCTCCGCGGGAGAAAAATGAGTAATCTCTTCCTGTGCCTCTGAAAATCCGCTGGAGGGTCAGCTATGGGTCGGTTCTGATTCTACGGTATACAACAACATTCTTTAATCAAGTTTGTGAAATGGGTCAAGCATTGACATAGGGGCTGCTCAGGTTAAACACAAACTCGGGACTTTTGAATGTAATGATTCTTAATAAACAGATGACTGTCTAAACAAGCGCGCCAGCCTGGGGTAAGGCTGGCCACGCTGCCCTGGGACCGCCCACTCGGGGCTGCTGCGCGCATGCTCCGGTCACTCACGGAACCCTGGAGCCGCGGAACTCAGTGGCGGGGTTCGGGTTCTCCGGGGGAGGTGCTCGGGGTGCGCGGTCCGCCGCGCTGCGCCTGCGTTTCCGGGACACAGCGCCATGCGGCTCGCTCAGCGCGCACTGGCCGCCTGGCGGGAGCAGTTCCCCGTGATCGGCCGGGAGGTGGCTCGTTGGTTCCCGGGCCACATGGCCAAGGGTGAGGAGTGTGCCGTGCTCTTCTGGGACGCGCGGCGGAAGCTTGGCGGAGTCGGGCGGGATTTGACATGTGTGGTCCTGGTTCCTTTTCTCCCCCGGGCTTCCGTGGCCCGTGGGCAGCGCCTCTTCCCTGGCGCAGTGCTCGGCTCTGGCTGCTGGCTGGGATCTAGTACTGCGGCGGCTCCAGGCCACAGCCCTGGTCACTCTGGAATGTCGACCCGAATTCTGGTCGCGAACCTCTGACCCGCAGGACCGCCAGCTCACGGACTGAGTTGGCAGGTGGGGTGTGTCTACCCTAACTGTACTCGAATGCCTTCTGCCGGTGGCCCTGCACCTGTTTTGGAAGCTGTCAAGCCGTCCTCGGGGCCGTGACAATTGGGGGGCCTTGCTAGGCTTGTCCTCGGGTGCCTGGGCAGCTCCGACGGCGAGCATTGGACGCTCACCCGTTCATGCTGCCTAGTGTATCTAATTCCCTAACTAGGCCTTGGAGAGTAGAAGGGTGGATGTGAAAGCACTTTTCAAACTGCGAAGTAGCTGTTCGTATTGCCCTGAAACCTTTACAACATATCTGGAATCATGCTGGGAGTTTCTTAACGTTTTCTGTCAAAAACCTGACCAGAGACTTGTAAGACTTCTCACTGCACTCACCCTCCCAACCCTCTCCCCACTTAGGACACTCTGATTGTTGCAGCCGCATCCCCGCCCACTCCCCGGCTTTGTGCTAATAGTCTCTATGGTGGAGCTTACCAGAAGAACAAGGGTTTGGCTGCACAGCAACAGGCCCAGGTGGTATTTCCTTGTATCTGAGGACCTTCTTGCCAGGTGCCTGAGGTGTCTGTCCTTAAGGACTGAATTACCATGTTGGACATGACGAGGAGGAATGCTGTGATTGTTGTGTGTGGTTGCTGGGTAGGAGGAGTTATGCTTGATGCTGGAGGTGTGGGAGACACTGGTGAGTGAATGGTCAGGACTTGGTCATCATCATCCTTTCCATAATAGACCAGATTCAAAGACCCTTGGCAGTTAAAACCACCCCTCACCCCCTGGTGTCAGGAGGGAAGAATGGCTTTGTGGATGAAGCTTCATCCTGTGACCTCTCCAGGCCAGAGGCTGTTTCTAGCTGCTGCTCTGGCCTGTCTGTCTCAGTTGTTTTTGGTGGAGCGCAGTTTTTGGTGGTCTGTTGACAGCAAGTCTGCCATCACTGCCAGGCCCTCTTTCTTCGATGACTCTTCTCTTTCAGGACTGAAGAAGATGCAGAGCAGGCTCAAGCTGGTGGACTGTATCATTGAGGTCCACGATGCCCGGATATCCTTTCGGGGGGGGGGGGGCTTGTATTGCTGGGAGGTAGAAGCTTCCTGGCTGTTGCTTCTCCCCATTCCCTTCCATCTAGTGATCTTGGTTCAGTGGGAGGCCTGAGACCCATGTCAGTAATTGACATTCAAAGGACTGGGTCTCACCTGGAACTGTACATAGTATTACCTGGGACCATATAAATCAGCATTTCGGGCACAGTTTGGGCATTATCTTTAAATCAGAATTTCCTGTCTGGTCTGGATATTTTATGTCTTTGAAGTTTCCCATTGATGCCTAAGTCGAATTTTCTGTACAGTGTGCCTAAGGCTTCAAATCTGCTCTAGCTGCAGGGCTTGAGACTTCCTCTGTCCCTACTGGCTAATGGGGCTTCCTCTTTGCTCTAGGAATAATCAGTGAGATGTAGTGTTGTGGCCTGGGTTTTGTAGAGCAAACCCAAGGAAGCATAACAATGTATGAACTTGCCATTGAGTTGGTTCTGACTCTTGGGAGCTCTCCATTGGGTTTCCAGGAGGATACTGCCCATCTTTCTCCCTCGGAGCCACTGGTGGTTCTGACTACCAGAGAAACTCGGCTTTTGGGCTAATAGCACAACTCTCCACAGATGAAGCCACAAGAGTCCTCCTGCCTTCTTTCATTTCTGTATAATTATAGAGAGATTTATCTCAACAAACAGCTTAATTCCCTAGCAGATGTTGGCAAAGGATCAGTCCTCAGGATGGAGGTGTCTTAGGAATCTGATGAGTCCAAGGTCACCAGGCAGAGTTGCAGACTGCGAACTTGGGAGGCTAACAAGTTGGATGTAGGATTGGACAGAGAGTCCATGCGAGGCAGGTCACAACCCTGAGGAGACTTCCCTTGTCAGTGCTAATCACGCCTCTAATCCTGCCCTGTTAATATCATAGAGATTAAGATTTACAACACATAGGAGCCTTGCATTCCCTGAGAGTCAGCCACAGGGACACGCTAGTGACTATCACATGGGCTTTGTTTCACATGTGTGCACTTTGCAGATAGTGACAGAGGCACAGGAACAGGCACATTTGACCTCTGTAAGCTCCACAGAGAGGAACAGTCCCCATCAACAGCATCCACAATACAAGAGTAAGTCTCCTGAGATCAGACATGACCCGCATGCTTCCACATCTAATTCCAACACCAGTCGTACTGTATTACTACTGGCTCAGAAGTCCACTGCAAGGACTACACAGACCTCACAGAACCAGACTCACAGTTACAGGGTTTATTAAGGAAGTTATCAGGTTATGGTTGAAGTTGGCATAGGCTACAATTCTTCAGTCAACAGCTTCTCAAGCTGCTTGCGGGCCCATTGAAGTTCAGCCTCATGGTCAGCTTGCTTTTTTGTACCGTAGAGTCGGAACCGATGCATTACTGACCCTTTGGCGGATTTTCAGAGGCAGTTGTTTGAATGGGAGGAGATTGCCCATCCTTCTCCCACAGAGCATCTGGTGGCCTCGAACCGTTTGCCTTGGGGATTGCAGTGCAGCTACTTCCCACTAGGCCACCGGAGCTCCTGCTTAGTCATTCTAATTATGGAATCTCCCTCTAGTACTCCAGCAACCTTGGGTGAAGCCCTGGCTCTGGCAGTGTAGGGCAGCAGTCCCAGTCAGCCGTCTCCTGCTGGTGTCTGGTTTTCTGCTGTAGCTCCTGTTGCTTTTGCGTAGGGCCTGGTTTGGTGCAGGGACCTCTGGCTCTGAAGGACACATGGTGCCTTCTCTGCAGCTTCCTTGCTGACAGTGAGATGCTCATCTTCTGCTCCTGAACGTGCTCAGTTTAACCCTGATAGCCAGTCCCCTTCTGGAAAGGCTTATTCCTGCCTTGCCACATGGTTTTGTTTCTGGTCCTGTGCAGCCTATGCTCAGCCCAGAGGATCCTTGGAAAGGGGAACCATGAGTCAGAACCTTTAGATTGCTGGCCTTTATCCGGAGAGCAGGGAGCCCGCTTTTTGTTTCTAAAGCTTGTGATGTGCAGTGAGAAGAGGTTTCCTGGCTGTGATGTCACTTGGCCATGTCTTGTGCTGGTGTTAACTGTAAGATTTACGTCTGACTTAGAAGTGACAGCACACAGACTAGAGGGCGTTTCTCTCTTGCCCTCAGCCCATTGAGGTCCTGAGAACCCTGGTGGCCTCTGCTCTGTCCAGGAAGAAGGGTCAGAGACTTTGGTGCTTTCATTTGGAGGTGGTTGATGTCAGGGAGGAAGTATGAATTTTTACAAAGTTCCTTAACTGTGTGATATGAGATGCTGCCTATTACAGGGTACCTAGACGGGCCCTACCTGAGATGACAGTCTTAGAGTCAGTGGGGGAGGAGAGACCAGAAGCACTGAGGACCCTTCTGTCTGTGTGGTTGTCACACTCAGTAGGGTGGACTCTGAGTCTGGCTGAGAAATGGGGATGGAGGTGTGGCCTGAGGTGTGATGGTGTGAGTGTGACCCAGTTTAGGAGGCTCTCTGAGAGTAGATGCACCACTGTGTTTCGCTGGGATCCACCGGTCCCCCGCTGTCATGGAGGTGACTGGCCATCAGGCTGCACATCAGCTCCTCCTCACTGTCTGTAGGCATGTGCTGAGCTGCACTTGGAGGCAGTCAGAGCTCATCACAGAACCTCTGAGTTTCTGCCTGTCGCCGCCAACATCACTGTCTGAGAAGCTATGATGGCCATTCACCTGTCCACCTACAAGAGACAGGCTGGGACCTGGCATGAGTCAGGAGAGGTCACATTCTCTGCCCCAGGAGGCCTCTCTGGGTGTGTTCTTGGCCACCTCAGCCTGGTCTCAGCCCTGGTCAGACATTTCCAAGGTAGTGCCTGACTGCATGGCCATAGGCGAGGCCAAGCAATGGCAGGTGACATTTCACAGGAATTGTGCCTTAATGTTGTCACATCCCACTTTCGGGCCGCAACCCCCTGTTTCGGGAAACCCTTGGCCTCAAGCCTCACCTGCTTGTCCTCAACAAGATGGACCTAGCAGACCTCACGGAGCAGAAGGTGAGAGCCTTCACACAGCAGATGGTGCCCTCAGCTGCCTGCACCTCCTGTGTTCTCAGCATCCTTCACACATGGTGTCTGGACCCCCACCTGGCAGAAGCATCTCAGCACTGCTCCTCCAGCTGCACATGTCTCCTCCCTGCGAGTTGGTGTCCACTCAGAGGGCAGGCCAGGCTGCAGGGCCTGGGACAGGATCTGTGTGCAGCAGATGAGCTCCATAAGCGGGAACCACTGTCCAGTCTGGCCACGCAGGCCATGGGCATCACTGTGACTCCCATGGCTGAGGGGCTGCCATTGTTCATTCATTAGCTGGATTGCTGGCATCCGTTCCTGTGGGTGCAGTACTAGGCAGGCTGGCTCGGGCCCCTGAGGTCCAGGCTTACTTGCCTGGCAGCCATTTAGATTCCTGAGGAGACCCGTGCCCATGCTGCCTGCCTTCCACACCTTGAGGGCTGCCAGTTTATCTCTTCTTACAAAGTAAGAGGTGAGATCCAGGCAAGAGGTGGGTCTCCTAGATCAGGCAGCTGTCCAGTGACAGAGTCGGTACCTGGGACCAGCGTTGGATGTTCTCTGTATGTCCAGGCTAAAGAGGCTTAAGGCATCTTAATTTTGAAGAGTGTCTCAAATGAAAGGTGACTAGATCTGTGTTCTCACAGCTCTTGGTCAGACCTCCCTCTGGTTACAGCAGCAACATGTCTCAGGTGATACAGTGCTTTGTGTTTCATTAGTGAGGTTTCCAGGGGAGCCTTGTTCCCTGGGAGGCTGTAGACAGTGCAGCTACAACAGTGGTTCTCCATGCATGTCCACAGATACCACACTGGTCCACCACTTGTGTCCACAGATGTCATGCTCCCCTGAGGACAGGTTGGTGGTGGTCTACCGCCCTGCCCCCAAGGACAGGCTAGAGATGTTTGACCACACCCCTGAGGACAGGATGTGCCCTCTCATGCATGTGCACAGATGGCATGCAGGAATAGGTTCTGGCATGACAAGCACTTTTGGTCTCTTGTGTACCTGAGACCTTGTGGGTTTAGTGTGTGTGGCTGGCAGGTAAGCTGCCGGGGCCTCCTCAAGGTACATGTCAGGGCTGGACAGCCCTGGGGCCACACTGCTTCCATGGCTTTATTTCTTATTTGAAATAGGAGTGTTTCACCTCTTTCAGAAAATCCTACAGCGCTTAGAAGAGGAAGGATTGAAGAATGTCGTTTTCACCAACTGTGTGAAGGATGAGAATGTTAATCAGGTGGGTCTTTTCTACTCCGTCTGATGCCCCTGCTGCCTTCCATGGTGACACATTGTGAGGAGCCAGTGGGGGTGTGGGGCTGTGCAGTGGCTGGGGCAGGACACTGGCCACTGTGTTCTGAGCCATGAGCAAAAGGCGTTTTGGGGTGTCCAGTGCTGCAGACTTGGACAAGTTGGTAAGTATCTGCACTAGAGCTGCCACAGTCACTACTGCACTTGGGGAGATTGCCCTGCTTGTCATGGGGGTGGGTGGCTGACATGGTGACCCGACCAGTCCCAGTGTCAGTGTCAGCACTGGGGACAGAGCACAGGTGCCTGGTGCTAGAATGCTCCATTGAAGGAGGTCAGTCTCATGCCTAGAGGGATGTCATTGGCTGTTGTATTGACTAAGAAGTAGGCAGGGGAACTTAAGATGTTCACAGTCCCTACTCTGAGGTGGCAGGAAAGAGCACCTGAGCTAGAACATGTTTGTGTCTCCTGCTGTGTATGTGTCCTGGTGGGGACATGTGTCTCTTTTGGGGTCTGTGTGTGTATGTGTGTCCTGGTATGTGTGGTGTATGTGCATTGGGGTGTGTATGTCTTGGTGGGACTATCTGTCTTGATGTCCTGCTGTGTGTTGTCTCCTGGTAGGGGGTGTCTGTCTTGGTGTGTGTATGCCAGTCCAGGTGTGTATGTTTGTTCTGGTGGGAGAGTGTATGTGTCTGTCTCCTAGTTTGTATATGTCAGTCCTGGTGTGTCTTTTTTTAAAAATTATTATTATTATTATTATTTTTTAATTTTTTTTTCAATTTTAATGAAAGTTTATAGAGAACTTGAATTTCCATTCATACATTGTTGCATATTTTCCTTCCTGCCCACCCTTCACCCCCCAGTTTCTCTTTGGGGGAGGAAAAAAAAGTCTTTGATTGTACAGTTTCTCCCCCAGTCCACTTTACTGTGCAGCTCTTATTATGGACTGTTATGATACAAATAATACCTAATCATGTATTCCTTTTAAGCAGTTCTTTCCCTCCTCTGTTTAAATGCAGTGTACATTATTTATCTCCTCTTTTCTTAGTCTACCCCAAACCCTGATGTCAGTCCTGTTTTGTAACAGTAGCTTTATGCAGTATTTGTGCTTTTATGACTGAGATGTTTCACTCAGCCTAATGTCCTCCAGGGCCACCCATTTTGTATACTATTTCATTAATTATTTTTCAGTGCTGCGTACTATTCCATTGTGTGCCTATACCACAGCTTCTCTGTCCATTCATTTGTGGATGGGCACTTGGGTTGTTTCCATCTCTTTGCTATTGTAAACAATGCAGCAATAAACATAGGTGTGCATATATCTGTTTGAGTGGCAGTTCTGATTTTGTTAGGGTATATTCCTCGTGATGGAATTGCTGGGTCAAATGATGGTTTTATTTCCAACTTTTTGAGGAAGCGCCCTACTGCCTTCCATGGTGGTTGCACCATTTTACACTCCCACCAACAGTGAATAAGGGTTCCAGTGTCTCCACAACCCTGCCAGCATTTGTTGTTTGCTGCTCTGTTGAATTTTGCTATTCTTACTGGGTGAGATGATATCTCATAGTTGTTTTGATTTGCATCTCTCTTAAAGCTAGGGACTTTGGACATTTCTTCATGTTTGTTCGCCGTCTGAATGTTTTCTTCGGTGAAGTGTCCTAGTGTGTGTCTTGCTGTGTGTGTCTGTCCTGTTGTGTACATGTCTGTCCTGGTGAGAGTGTGTGTGTGTGTCCTGCTGTGTGTGTCTGTCCTGATTGGAATGTGTGTATGTCCTGCTGTGTGTGTCTGTCCTGATTGGAATGTGTGTATGTCCTGCTGTGTGTGTCTGTCCTGGTAGGAGTGAGTGTGTGTGTCTCTGACCGGTTGTGTCGGCTGTGTGTTTTGTCACAGATCATCCCGATGGTCATGGAGTTGATTGCGAGCAGCTCTCGCTATCACCGAGGTGAGGTGAGTTTGGAGGTGCACACTGGGAAGTGAGAATATTGTTGGTTACCTGTCCCTCCTGCTGCTTGAAGACTCAACAGGAAGGGCTGGGACTGTACCCCCAAGAGTGCAGTGCTTCTTAGAGGTCTTGGGTGGGCCTGGAGTCTTGGTGTGGGACTGTGACCTGCTCTGCTGGCCCCTACAGAACCTGGAGTACTGCATGATGGTCATCGGGATTCCCAACGTGGGCAAGTCCTCCCTCATCAACTCCATCAGGAGGCTGCATCTCAGGAAAGGTCCTGGGAGCCCCGGTTGTGGGAGGGGTGTTAGGGAGCACCTCTAAGCCTCTGGGTTGTCCTTGTGTCTCCCCACTTCCCAGTCTCATTTGGATGCTGCTTTCTCTGTTAAGCCCTGTGCTGAGACCTTCTGATTTTGGGGGATTTTGTTTTCTCACGTGTTTAAATCCCTCTGATTCAGGTCAGTCAGTGTCATAACAGATCAGGCCTGTTAGGAGGTATCACCTCCCAGCAGTGACCCTGGGAGCTGCACCATCCTTAGACATCTAGCTCGGAGGCAGGGCGTGTCACACTGCGTGATTGCTTTCGACCACTTTCTCTACCTCTGTATGGAGCAGTCCCTCCTGCAGGCATCCCACCCGGGTCCCAAGCAGAGACAGGCCTGGTCTGCCCAGCGGTCCTGTGCTGTAGCTGAGCTGCATGGCCTGTGTCTGAGATGTAGGCTCTGTCTGGCCTCAGCCTCTTTGGGAAGTGACCATGTGGAGGGCGGTCCTGCCTGGGTCCTAGATGGTGAGCCCGGGTACTGTGGAGGTTCGCAGAGCTGTGGACACCACTTGTGTGAGCTGGTCTTTGGGGGTGTTCAGGGACCTTAGTGTCTGAGGGCCCCACATATGCTCTGTTAATGCTGCTATGGTGCTGTGGCTGGCCTGCACCTGACGGTCTCTTTATCCTGCAGGAAAAGCCACCAGGGTGGGTGGTCAGCCTGGTGTCACCAGAGCTGTGATGTCCAGAATTCAGGTACACATTGGGTAGGAGGCTGGGCCATCCATTCCCTGCGCCTGCTCTTCCCCATCCATTCCCTGTCCACTCCCCACCTACCCGCACTTCTACGTCCTGCCCATTCCCTGTCTGCTCCCCACCATCATCTGTCTACACTCAGAGCTCTGTCTACACGCTGTCCACTCCCCCATCTCCTGTGTCATTCACTCTCCTGTCCACACCCCAGTCCACACCCATCTACTACCCTGTCCCCCTCCTCCACTCCCCCATCCACACCCTATCTGCTCCATTTGCTATCCCATCCACTGCCCTCTTCTGTGCCCCTGTGCATGACCTATTTCTCCCATCTCTAGCCCCCATCCACTACCCCTCATCAGTGCCCTTCCCCAGGCCCCATTTCCCACCATTAGCCCATCTGCCTTCCTCAGCTACTGCCCCAATACTCACCCCTATCCACTCCCTCATCTACCACCCCGTCCTCCCTCTCCTGTCCACTGCCACTGTCTATGTCCCCATCTGTGCCGCCATCCATTTCCCCATCTACTGCCCCATCTGCCCTGATAACTAGTCCATCCACCGTCCACAGTCTCCATTCCCACCCGCTCTGGTGAGCCTGGAGCTTGGCACAATTGTACATATCAGGTTGGGTTCTTCTCTGAGCCTGGGATACCTAGCAGGACCCCCTGAAGCCCTCAAGACAAGTGGGTTCAGAGGTGCTCATCTGTCCTGATGACTTGTGCCCACACAGGTTGGGTGAGGGGTCCCCATGTCCTGATGACTGTGCCCACACAGATGGGGTGGGGAGTTCCTCTGTCCTGACGGCTGTGCTCACATAGATGGATGGGAGTCCTGTTCTCATGCCTCTGCTCACCTAGGTGGGGTGGTGGTGTCTCCCTGTTCTGATGGCTTTGCTCACACAAGTATGGTAGGGGGATCCCCTCGTCCTGATGGCTGTGCCTACGCTGGTGGGGTGGGGGATGCCCTGTCCTCATAGCTTTGCCAACACAGGTATGTGAACGGCCTCTTGTCTTCCTGCTGGACACTCCTGGGGTGCTGACCCCTCGGATTGAGAGTGTGGAGATGGGCCTGAAGCTGGCTCTATGTGGTGAGCTGCTCCCAAAGTCTCCCTTCAGGACAATGACTTGTGATGTGGTGTGGAATCCCAGGACCTCTGCCCTGGCTGTGGCCTGTGGGCTTCTCAGTCTGGTGTTGGCAATAGCTTTCAGCTTGCACCAGCACCCCATAGATGCCCCCTTGTCTTCATGCCACCTCGGAGACCAGGCCTATGCCCTGTGCATTGATCAGTAGAGTGGCTAGGAGGGCAAGAGTACGGTGTCACCCTCCACATGGCCAGTGTCAGTGGTGTCAGGCTGGTCAGAGGGCTGCCTGGGGGATAGCAGGGTGCATGGGCTGGGTTGAAGGGTACACTGCAGACAGTGGGCTCATGGGCTGTGCTGAGGGGTGCCTGGAGGACAGCAGGGTGCATACGCTGGGCCCAGGGGTGTACTGAGGACAGTTGGTCCATGAACTGGGTTGAGAAGTGCACTGGGGGTAGGAGGTGCCTAGAAGGCAGCAGGGTTCATAGGCTGGGCTGAGGGGTTCATAGGCTGGGCTGAGGGGTGCATGGCTGCAGAAGAGGTGTTGCGGGCACGGCCATGAAGCTCACTGCAGTGCCACGTGGGCTTTGCAGGGACAGTGCTGGATCACTTGGTGGGCGAGGAGACCTTGGCTGACTATCTTCTCTACACCCTTAACAGACACCAGCTCTTCAGGTGAGTGATGCGTGCGAGGCAGGCAGCACATCCTCCCTCCCTCATCTGGGTGATAGTCAAGTCTGCATTTATTTAAAGTTCTGACAAATATGTCCACAACACCCTTGCTCCACCAAGATAGTGAACACCTTCATCATGAGTCAGGTGTCCTGTGCGGTGAGGTGTCTTGTGTTCAGTGACGTGTCCTGCATGTGGTGAGGTGTCTGTGTGCAGTGAGGTGTCCCCTTAGGCATCCCGTGTGAGTTGAGGTGTCTCGTATGTGGTAAGGTGTCCCATGCAGTGAAGTATCCCATGTGAGGTGAGGTGTCTGTATGGTGAGGTGTCCTGTAGGTAGTAAGGTGTCCCCTTACTGAGGTATCCCCTGTGAGGTGAGGTGTCCCCTTGGTGAGGTATCCTGTGTATGGTGAGGTGTCCGCTTCCCACATACACCCCACCCTCACCACAGAGCCCCACCTTCACCCTTATCCCCACCTGCACCCCACCTCCTTCTGCACCCCTCCTGCACCCACACTGCACAGCCTTGCCCCCGCCTGCATCCCACTGTGGTGGTGGCTGTGACCAGAGAGGTCACCTGCTGTGTTTGGCACCCCCTGCAGGTACGTGCAGCACTACAGCCTGGACAGGGCCTGTGATGACATTGAGCATGTGCTCAAGAAGGTGGCCGTGCAGCTAGGCAAGACCCGCAGGGTGACGGTGCTCACGGGCACTGGTGAGTGAGACCTCTGCTTGTAGTGGTGTCCCCCAGGAGGACACAAAGGTGGACACAGGTCTCAGTGGATGAGATCTAAGCTGTCTTCTCATCTTACTGGACTGTGCCTAACTCAGTGGTAAAAGCCATACTCCATCTTCTCCTGCTGTTCCTAGGATCACCTGTCCTCTCCTTTCTGGTCCTGGGGTCCCTATTTCTATCCCCTCCAATCCTGAGGTCCCTCATCCTCCCCCACAGTCCTGGAGTTCCCCAATCCAATCCTGGGGTCTTGTGTCCTCTCTGATCCTGGGGTACCCATCTCCCATTTGTTTCTGGGGTTCTCTATCCTCTCCCCTCTGGTCTTGGGGTGCTCTTTCTTTCCTCTCCAGTCTGGGGTTCCCATTTCTCTGTCCTCTAATCCTGGAGTCCCCCCATTCTCTCCCCTCTGATCCTGGGGTTTCTGATTCTTCTCTGATTCTGGGGTCCTCTGTCCTCTCCATTTCAGTTCTGGAATCCCCCATTCTCTCCAGTCCAGTCCTGGGGTCCCCATCCTTTCCCATCCAAACCTGGGGTCTCCCATCCTCTCCCTTTTGATCCTGGAGTCTTCACATGCCCTGTTCTGTTCTCTTTCTTACTAGTCTTTGAGTCCTTCCAATCCTGGGACCTCCATTTCCCTCTCTCAGTCCTGGGGTCTTTGCACTCTACCCTCTCACCAAATACCCCTTGCCTCCTACAGGGAATGTGAATGTCATGCAGCCCAACTATACTGCGGCGGCTGGTGACTTTCTCCAGGCCTTTCGGAGTGGGCTTCTGGGCCTAGTGATGCTGGACCAAGACGTCCTGGCCTCCTGAACCGATGCAGAACCCTGATGGTCAATGTGGCCCCCCCTGGCCGAGGTTCACATTTGGAACACAGATAGAAGGCATTGGCTGCCTACCTGGGCTGCAGTTCTGTTCCCGGCTGGTCACCAGGTCCCTGCTCAAAGAGACACTGTGCTCTGTTTGCCTGACTTTTCCCCAATCCTGGTCACCTCAGTAATGTGGGGGCCTGGACTTTGGGGACTTCACAAGGGGCACTGACAAGCAGGGCCTGGACTTAGGGGCCTGGGAGGGGATAGAAATTGGGCCAGGGCCTGAACCTCAGGAATTTCAAGGTCAGTGGCCATTCTGAGACATCATGCCAGCCTGGCTGAGGTGGGACCTTGCCCTTGGGACAGCAGCCTTGCCCAGTGCAGGATTTGTTTGTCTGGAATGAATGAAAGCTGACTGAAAAGATGTCTCTGCTGACCCTCATGGACACTCCAAGGTTGTGGGGTCCCCAAAACCCATCTCAGGGACATTGCTAGATTCATGGGCCCGGCTAAAGCCCCTCATACACATGGATGCTGCCAGGGCCCAATAGCTGAAGTCTGATTACCTGCCAGGTGGTTTATTTTCATACCATAAAGCGTGCACATAGACATGTACAGGTGGTTCCCAGAACTATGGCAGAATCAAGGATTGGCTCACCCCTTGTCCCCGTGAGGGTCCTCTCCTGGCTGCACTTGGCTACCAGGTGTCATGAAACGAAGGCAGGAGACCTCCAGCTCCTGTGTGTTGGCACCTGCTGGTTGACCAAGGAGCAGTGGGTCACAGCTGTGTTGGGGCCGAGGATTATCTGCACCTTTGCTTGGAGAGCACACTTGGAAAGGACCAGCGTGGGGCCCGGTGAGGAAAGGCTTTGGGACACTGGAGTGTCAATGCCTCCGCACAGCCCTCCACATCCGGGCACATTTCTCCATCCCACACCAAGTGCAGATGGTCCATGGAGAGTTGGCGTCTGTTTCCCCCTGGTGCCCGACCTGCGGGCGGGAAAGTGAAACCTGTGGTGGCGTCAGTGTGCTTGCAGTCCAGCTGGCATGCCCTGGGCCTTAGGAGTCAAGGGCACTTCCTCCCCTCCTCCAGAAAGAACCCCAGTCTCTGGGTTGCTGTGGTTCATGTGAGGTCGGGTCTGAAGTCCCTGATTGGGTTGGTGCTCACCCCAGGGTTTCCCTTGGCTCTTGGGGAGATGTCCTTTTTCCTGGCAGATGGTTCTGGAAGGGCAAGGGTGTTGGCAGTGTGTTAGCAGGTGGGGGCTGGCAGTGCTGTGTCCCCATCTTTTGAGCAAAATGCTGGTCTGCCCCCTCTTCCATGAGGCTACAGTATGAACTGTGGGAGAGCAGAAGTGGGGACCCTGAAGCACTTGGGGGTGCTGTTCGCCATGCCGGTACCCAAATCTGAGAGCCCAAGGCATGGGCCTTGGGCCTGAGGTGGCCAGGTTGATCTAGGGGCCAGAGCACCGAAGGAGATTGTGTTTTGAGGCTGCAGAAGGCCAATCCTCGGATTGTGTGGTCCAGGAGCGTGCTGGGAGACAGCCATATACCCTGCAGTGGTCCATGGTGTGCTTGCTTGTGCACAGAGGGGCAGGCCCTTCTGAGGGTGCCCCTGGTCTTCCCTCAGCATGCTGGCCAGGTTTCTGTTCTGTCTCCAGTGTCCCTTGGTGTCCAGATGGGCTGTGTTGGTCTCATGCTGCCTTCTGCACAGGCCATACAAGCAGCTTGCTCCTCACCCAGCCTGAGGCCCTAGGGCCCATGTGTCTGACAGGCCAGTGGTTAGTGCTACTGGGCATTCGTCTAGGGCTGTGCCCAGCTAGGGCTCCATGAGAGTTGGCAGCTGCCCTACTTTCAGATGGGGACTCTGGTCCTGGAGGTGACCCTCATGTTCAGAGAAAACGAAGCGAAGTATAACAACAAGACTTGTTTCCACTTGTTGAAATGAAGTGACGCACAAGGAAGAGGTCTGCTCACAGTCTGGGGTGCACCTGGTGTGAGGATGGCCAGCACACAGGTGCGCAGACAAGCTGCAAGGTACCCCGGGCAGACTTGCCCATAGAAAGCTCCTGGACCCTCTGTAGTGGGCAGCTCTGGGAGGTGACTTAGGGACCCTCACAATAAGGGAGATCCTTGCTGAAGAACTCCATGGCCCTGCGGCCCCTAGTCACCCCGGGTGGCTAGGTGGGTGGGAGAGGGGTGGGATGGATGCTCAGTAGAGGCCTGGTAGCCTTTGGTGAGGGTCTGATCTGCAGGTTGGGCACAGTTTGGGAGCTGGCCCATACAGGCCTAGGGTTGCAGCCATGCCAGGGCACCAAAGATGCTACCCAGTAGTAGGCAGAGGTGGGGGCCAGAGTGCACAAGTTGATCGCCTGAAGTCCACGCCCGGTAACTGTAGAAGCCAGTGTCGTTGCCGCCTGGTGCCCAGTCCTCGCCGTCCCTGGGGCCTCGCTGTCTGGGCCCTGCAGCTTGCCAGCCTGCCCCCGCTGCCAGGCCTGCCGCTGCCCCGGCCGCTGCTCCGGCTGCTGCCCCTGCTGCCGCCACTCGCAGGGAAGAGCTGTATCGGGGCGCTGGCTTCACGCGCACCCTTGTGGCCCCGCGGGCTCCACCACGCAGCCCACCCCGTGCACTGCCCCGTGCCCCACCCCGACCACCCTTGGCGGTGCTGCTGTCACAGAGGAAAGCTGCGGCCAACAGCAGTGCCCAGCACGTGGCAGCTGTCCAGTTCATGTTTGGAGCAAAAGCTGTGAGAAGAAGGTGGAGAAAGGCTCAGGGCTGGAGAACAGGGGTCCGACTTACCCTGCGAGGTGAGGCTTCATACCCGGGAAACAAGAAGGGAAGCTGGAGGATGGCATAGCCCCTCACCTCCCGGCGCCCCAGCCTCAGCGCTTGAGGGGGGTGGGGAAGGGCCTCAGGGCAGGGGCTCAATATCTCTTAGCTAGGAGCTGCCACAGTTGGGCAAGGGACCCACCAGCTCTTTGGAGGACAGGGTGCTGCTCTGGTACGCACACATGGAGAGGCTTACCCAGCCCGTCAGGCAGAAGGCCTGGCAGCTGCCATGCCAGTGTAACTCAGAAATGGTAGGGGGTAGGGAGCGCTGCATTGAGGATGTTGGTTAAGGAGGGGGAGGCTAACAGACTAGAGCAGGCCTTTGTTCTGGGCCCAGAATCCAGCTAATAGAAAGCAATGGTTCAGGCCTTAGGGGGCCAGTGGTCTGAGACCACGCTGAGGATGGGGGACCGCTGGGATCTTCTGGTTATAGTGGTGAGGAAAGCGGTAGTGTTTGGGTGATGAAGTCTCACGACTGGCTCGCCCCCATCCTAGACTCCTTCCCACCCTGGGCTCCCTGGCCCCCAGTCTTCAGGGTCCACAGGCGCGCGTGGTGTGCTGTATGTGGGGTCAGAACCAGGAGTTTGAGCCCAGCAGGTGACAAGACCTGCAGCTGGTGACATCTCAGCCCCACCCTGGGGCTGCAGTCCTGTGCCGGTGGACAAACTGGAGGCTGGCGGCTCCCCTCACCCGCCTCAGCCACACTCCTCCTCCACCCGCATCCGCCCGCCCATCAGGTCTAACGGGGTGGGGGACAGGGACCCAGATGCAGAGCCAGCTCTGGGGCGGTGGTCTGTCTGCCCTTTCCGCCTCCCCCGCCGTGCCTGTACCTGCTTGGCGCCTCCACCACCAGCCTCGCGCTGTGCTCGCTGGGATCCCACCTCTCTGACCTCGCCGGCCGGACTCCGTGAAAATAACAAGGAGGGAGGCCACGCCAGGGGCTGCAGCCGACTAGTAAGGAGCCCCCAAGCCCGAGTTGCTGCTCCCGGATCTTGCGTGAGGCCTCGCCCAAAGATGGGGCGGGCAGATGCGAAAACTCATCCCCTGGGAGACCAATGTGAGGGGAGAAGGCTGACTCCTGGAGGGCCCTTGGCTCACAACACCCTCCCTTTTCCCACCACCCCACCCCAATTCCCACCCCATCTCCTACCACCACCCTACCCTCAGTGCGTCCTCCTCCCGCCCCATTTTTCTCCCTGGCTCCCACCGGTCTCCTTCCAGCACCCTTACTACCATCCTTGTGCGTTCCCCCCGCAACTCCTCCCCCTCCCATCTCATTTCACACGTGTTTCTCCAGTTCCCTTCCCCCCCCCCCAGTCCCACGCAGTGAGTGACTGTTTCTCCTCCCTTCCACCCTCTCAGTTCCCCATCCTTTGCCCATCCCACTCCCCTCCCATTCCTTAATGGCATCCTAGCCCCATCCTCCTTGCGCCTTTCTTCCCCCACATCCTTGACCTGCTCCAGGAGATGCCAACCATCCTCATCTCAGGACCATGGAGTGTGGCTGCCAGGTCTGGGCTCAGTGCTCTAGGAAGGGGAGTTCTAGAAGAGCTGTCCAAGGCCTCATGTGTTCTGGGTCTTGGAGCAGGCTTGACCCCCTCCCTGCTCCTCACTCCAAGCAGCATCAGACCACCAGCATCTCATCTCAATGCTCATGGCTGCCTACCTGAGGGCCAGGTGAGAGGCCGTAGCCTTGGACAAAATGTGCACTGGGAGCACCTTGGGAGCTCATGTACCCTCCGAAAGGAGCTGTACAGAATATGCCTTTTCCCTGCCTGGGTTGTAAACTTGATGCTAGGATGGCTATGGCGTTCTGCCACAAAAGAAAGAGTCTTGATAGAGAATAGGAAATAAAAACCAAATGAAAATTCTTGAACTAAAATATACAATTAGCTTCACCATCTTCCTTGTTTCTGTGAAGTCCCAGCCATCAAGGTCGAGCTGTGCAGGTTCAGGTACAAGGTCGCCAGGACTGATGGGAAGGTGTTCCAGTTTCTTAGTGCAAAATATGAGTTGGCATTCCTTTCCAAAAGGAATCCACCACAGATAAGTTTGACGGCCCTCTATGAGGTGGATTGATTCAGTGACTGGGATAATTGGGATGGGAGTGTCAGAGACTGCGATTGGCACAGGACAGAGCGGAGTTTAGGGCTGTTGTACATAGGGTCGCTATGAGTCGCAGGCGACTCGACGGCACATAACAACAACAACAACAACATACATAAGGAATCACAAAAAGGGCCAATCTGAGGAAATTCCAAAGAAAAGAACCTGCTGTACAGTCAGATTCCACAGGGCTGTCATTGGTGCATCTGCTGATGTAATGGCCAAAGGGAACCAAAAGCCCAGCGAGCAGCCAAGGAAGAAAAACAAAGCTAAGTAAGCACGTAAAGATGCCACAATGGCTCCTCCCAAGGCTCCCACAGAAGCAGTACCAACACAAAAACAAAAAACTGTGAAGCCTTTCAAAATTTCTGCTCCCCATGTTGGTGGGAAACGCTAAGTTGGTAGATGAGACAAATACTCAATTTCAACTCTAAAGACAACAAAAAATTAGCAGAGATACTGAAGAAGAAAAAGGTGGGCTACCATTTTCTGATTTAAAAACCTACACTATCCAGGTGCCCCTCAAAACGAAAACCCACAAAAAACCTGCTACATTGGCTCTTGAGTGAAAACCGAGGAGCTGTCCCTGAAGTCACTGTGCTGAAGTCTCTGGCACCATGACTGGGAGCTGAGGTGCTGTCCATACTCTGGTGCTGAGATTCCGTGGACACCAAGAAGTGGATGAAACTAATATTGCTTACAAAAGTCAAACAGTGAAGGGGAGCTCTGATGTTCTGGTGGTAAGTAACTGTTTTGCCATGCCAAAGGCACATTCTTGGAATGCTCCAGTTGCTTCCCGGGAGAAAGATGAACAGTCTTCTGTCAAATTTCTTACCTCTGAAAATCCACTGAAGGGTCAGCCATGAGTAATTTCTGACTCAGTGATACACAATACCACCACCCCACAGTACAAACCATGGGCTGTTCAGGATTGCAGTGCAATTTCTCGATTCAGCCTTTTCTCCTCTTCTGTATGTCCACATGTTCTCGCTTGGCCACCTTGTGGCTCTTGTAATTCCACCTTAGGTGAGGTGGCAACTTGTTGGCTGTGCGCATGAATGTTACCTGTGGTTACCTGGGCAATGGGCCAGGTTGTTTTGACAGACTGCTGAGGAAAAGAGAGGGGTTCAGAAGTTTTTCCTCTTGTACATGGGCCCAGTTGGTGCTCAGGAGAGACCACAGGACTGGAGGTGTTTGGCCAAGGCCTCCTTGATGTCTCTGTTCCTCAGGCAGTAGATAATGGGATTGAGTAGTGGGGTCACCACTGAGTAGATCACAGACACCAGCTTGTTGAGGTCAAAGGAGCTGGCTGCATGAGGACGGGCATACATAAAGATGGTGGTGGTGTAGAAGATCGCCACCACCAACAGGTGTGAGGCACAGGTAGAGAAGGCCTTCTGGCGACCTGCCCCTCCTGGGATTCTCAGCACCGTGGCCAGGATGCTGACATAGGAGACTACAGTCACTAGCAGAGAAGTCATGAGCACGGCCAGGGCTGCCACAGAGTCCAGCATTTCAATCACAGTCGTATCTGAGCAGGAGAGCTGCAACAGAGGGGAGATGTCACAGAAGAAATGGTTAAGGACATTGGGGCCACAGAACCTGAGGTGAGAGATGAGAGCCAAGGACACAAATGAGGCCAGGAAGCCACCAAGCCAGGCACTGAGGGCTAGGTGCAGGCACAACCTTGAATCTATGATGGCTGGGTAACGCAGCGGGTGACAGATGGCCAGGTACCGGTCACAGGCCATGGTGGCTAGGAGGAAGCACTCAGAGGAGCCCAGTGAGAGGAAGAGGAAGAGCTGGGTAAGACACCCTGAGAAAGATATGGTCTTTTCCTGCACCAGGAGGCTGACCAGCAGCTTAGGGACAGTAACTGAGGTGTACAGGATCTCCAGCACTGAGAGGTTGGCCAGGAAGAAGTACATGGTGTGTGCAACTGACGACTGGTCCGGATGACCACTATGATGACCAAGTTCTCCAGGAGGGTCACCATGTAGATGGTCAGAAAGGACCCAGAAAGCAGCCCGTGCAGGTGGCAGAGCTCTGGGAAGCCCAACAAGACAAACTCTGTCACCAAGGTGAAGTTGGAGTCACTCATGGCCTGCCCCGTGTGGGAGATAGATCACTTTAGAGCACCCTGAAATGACAGAGGGGCATGGGTCTGACGAGTGCTGGGACCAGTCTTACACATGTCACTGAGAAGAGGACCTGGGTGGTGGGTGTAGTGTTTTCCTTTCTGGGGTCTCCAAGGCAGGGGACCAATATATCTAGCATGGTCACTTGAGGACCAATGCAGTTCTTTTCTATAATTTTCTGCTTTTGGGGAGGCTTCTTGTGCTGACTAGGTCCATGGACAGGAAGAGAATTTGGCTCACCTTTATTATCTGCTTACCTGTCACCTAATTTCTCAGTCCAGCATAGGTAGATGTTTGCGACAGTACTTATCACCCAGTCTTTTGGTCCAGCCTATATACATACACAGAAATATTGTCCAGTGAAGTAATTTGAGAACCTACATACACCAATAGGTATAGATACATACCTGAGTACTTACATACACATGCCTTTTGGTGCACAGTACCCCCTATACCCAATATGTGTCTTGAGCCAGATTTGTGTTTGGGTGAACATCCTTCCACATGCCCTGGGTGCACAGCTGCCTTGGTGCATGCACATACACAGCTATTCACAAATATGCATACACACATCTGTGCAACCTCATGCCACTTCACATACAGACTGCTTGCTGGCACTTTTCCTACCTTCCAGTTAGGTCCAAGCAAATACACATA